ACCTGCTTGGACTACGTGTCGGCAGTATTCAATTTAAAATAACGCGAGGTCTGCGCGGAAGGTGCAGCACAGTCACAGTGAAAGCTAGAAGAGTGGCCTTTCAGAGCCTTTTCAAAACACTCATTGGGTAACTATTGCAAGCACACTTGCTCGATACCCATTAAGGCATTAATGATAAACTTTTGGGTAGTAGGCCGGCATTCGTTATGTTATTTTTCGTCATTCTTCTGAGACGCGTGGTATCCACTAAACACTTGCAAGGAATTTCGTGCCAATTGTTCATGCAGTTGCTGACGACAATGAAGAATTATGACTGAAGTCGGTATGCGCCACAGTTAATAGGTGGACAAGGAAAAGCTTTTGTAATGAGTTGGAGCATTGGATGGCCCACTTGTTACGCTATTCGCATTGTGCGATGACAGGTTGTTCTTTCGCTGTTTTAAAAGGCTTTATAAGTCGTATTAACGTGATCGCTTTCCCGACATCATGCGTGCCTAAGGCAAGTTTGCCAACAAGTCACAAGCACCAGCGTAGCTCAGTGGTAGAATACTGTGCTAGCACCCAGCGGACCCGGGTTCGAGCTCCACTGTGTTTTTGGTGCTAGGTTTGCCAACAAGTCACAAGCACCGGCATAGCTCAGTGGTAGAATACCGGGCCGGCACCCCGCAGATCCGGGTTTTGAGCCCCCACTGTGTATTTGGTGCTAGGTTTTTTTCTTTTTTTTGTCTAATTTCACGCGATTTGGTTACGAACACCGGCGGCAGTGGCGGTGGACAACTGCGCGTGACCCGGGTTGTGATCTCATAACAGCTTCCGCTGTAAAAAGTTTAGGCATTTTGAACTGTAACATATTTTACAGGCTTTGACTTGCATTCTATCGAAATTCAAATTCTGATCAAAGTTGCTTCCATTTCCTTTGAACCAAAATAATGCCAATGTCTTGGCTCAAATTAAAGAAAAGTATTGTTCACGCTAGTTAGGTCACGACAAGTACGCTCATTTTTGTTTATAATATATTGTAAGCTATTGGGATTCAAATTGAAATTATTCAACCTAAATTTCTATTTGCTTCGAATTTGCTTTGAGCCTAAAATTCACCATTCGCACAAGCCTACAGAAGACGTGTTTATGAAGTCCTTTGGGCGTTGTTGTCTGATGAGGTGCCCCCGACAATGTTGGCCTTTCAAACATTGACGTCCAACCAGGTCAATGCGTCCTCTCCGCCCCAGCTTCGGGCTCTGCCGTTCTGGACAGTAAGGCCTGTTATATTTCTTCTTTTTTTTCTCGCCACTGGGCACAAGCAGGGATGCGTCTTTCAAGATGCAAATGGTGTTCTTGTTCCATAGTGCGTGCTTTGTTTCCGACATTGCTTCGTCTTCTCAGCAGCATCAGGGCCCTTCATCCCAGTGGTCTTCTCACTTATTTGAAAAAATATCATTTGGAATCACTAATTAATATCCATATTCTTCATGGCACCCTCATCTTCCTTTACTCTCAAGAGCCTTTTGTCAACTTCTTTGCCCCTTAGGGTCACTGTCATGTGGTATGTTTCAGTGCTGCTATGTCAGAGGCGTACCTAAACATCATTTACTCACTCCACGTCATTGTGCGCATTGATGTGGTGATGTTTTTTAATGTGATTCTGCTTTCTATAGTATATGTCTAAAATCTGATTCTCTCCCATCTCGGTTTACAAGCGCTAGGATATTGTTAGCAGCTACAGGGATGTACCTTGTGGAGCACGTACATTCGCAGTCGATTGACATCTTCCTTTGTATGCCACTACAGTGCGATTCTTGATGTACTAGATATTCATGCCATATTGCAAGAGCATACAGTGTTTCTGTGATCTTTTTTTTTTATCATATAACTTTTTTTTTTTTCATTTTGCTAGCTTGGCTGCACTGTAGCCGCTTTCTGGTGACAATAGGTGTGTGCTTTTTGTTGCACTTTTTCCAGGAGAGACCTTTCCTCTAGTGTATGTCTAATATGATTGGTTGCTCTCTTTGTTTTGCAAAAGTGAGAATTCAAGTAGTATAAACAAGAGCACTCTTTCCTCGAGCTTGGCTGCATGGGCGCTTCAAGATGTTTGATCGTGTGGGTCCTTCAATACTTTTTGCTCTGAGCCGGAGTGGCCCTTTCATTGGTGAATAGGAGCCAGACCATGACTTGTAAAGGGACGGCTTGACGGAGGGAAAGGCAGCTTCGACTAAAATGGTTTCTAATCCTGAACCTCAATGGTTTCATTTTGAAAGTGTGTGCACGGCATTCTTGTGCCCTTCTTAATTCTATGAACAGTCAGATAGTTGGGAAAAAGAATGGTCCGACATTGATGTTGCTGTGTAGTCAGTTTAGGCAACACTTCGAGAAATCAATTTGGTGCTTTATAAAAGACTTGGTGTTTATAATTTTCTGGTACAAGCTTTAGGCCATTTTCTTTAATGTAAAAAGTGCATGCACTAAACTTGGTAAGCGTTGTGCTACTTGCTGTCTTACCACTTGCAAATCTCGTCTGTTTCTCATTCTTTGCCATCAGTCCAGCCTCAGTGCGTAACCTCATATGCAGTGTGTATTGCAGTATGCAAGACAAAATATTAATAATGGCTTAATCGCCGCCACCTCTCCCGGCCATACGCAATGGGAGGATAGAAAAATCGTGGTTCACGCAAAGGATTGTGGGCTATGGCGGTTGCCTGCATTGACTTCCGGTTCGAGTTGCCTGGCTGCCCGACGGGCATTCTTGCGACTGCTACCGCCTTCTGCGCTTTTCAAACTAGCACTCTCGAAGGCCCATTCTAATAAATTGCGGCAAAATATACTGGAGTGCTATGCAGCTTAGATGAATAACGAATCCGATCGCTAAGAAATAGTCATAATGGTTCGAGTGGTCATTTCTTCATTCAAGCTGCACGTACTTCTGGACACATGCGTATTGTTTTGCAGCAAAGGGTGTTTTCGCGAATGTTTTCTCGTACACAAATATTCTTTGTGCATCATAGCACCATGAGACATCCGCCATTTATTTTTATGTTGCTCGTGCATAGAATTTTTATTTACTTGTGTGTTGTAAAGGTATCATCTTGGGTTCGTTATAGTGAATTGCGACAGTAAACTGTTTCTTATTTAAAATATCAAATGTGATTGCAGGTCTTTAGCTTTCTTTTTTAAGCCACTCAATCCTCCTTTACGTGTTGTTCCCTCGCACACTCGATGAATGTGTTTCAGTGCATGCTCAACATACACTTGTGAAACATAGCCTTTATAGATATGAGTCGGAGCACAACACAGCCTATTGGCACTTCATGTTTGCAGGTCCGATGTAATAGAGACATCATATTATAAACTCATTTTTCAAAAAGACTTCGATCATTTTACGTCCTCTGATACATTTAACTGAGCAGTCATTGTGTGCCATGGGCCTCTTACGTGCTAAGTTGTTTCCATAAATTTGACAGACAGTAGGAAATGAAAAATATGCTATGTTAATATACGATATTGGCGTACTTGATTGGGCAGAGTATGGATACTTACGTTCTCAGCTAACGTTGATATTTGCTGCACATTTTCGTATGTGTTAGTAATTATGAGGTGGCACCATTCGTGACTGAAAATACTAAATCGAGGTGATTCTGCAAAAGATTATTGCGTGTTTCAAAGCATAAACTCGCTAGAAACTCTCCTCGTGTTCGCCTATTTCCACTTCTTGCTTCGTTTTCTAAAATGCTCGTAATAGCGTGTGTCCATTCATAAAACAAATCAAGAAACGGACATGATCACTGAACAAACTGCAACAAACGTGCCACAAAATTGCACGTGTTTCCTCCCTGACCACACTTCACAGCAAACACCTTAAAGCGGTGAAAGGAAGGGCCTTGAATCGAAGTACCGTAGCAGACGACGCACCGCTTTGCTATCCACCTATTAGCACTGCTTCGCTGGCGTTAGCAACTACAAAGGCTATGAACCTTCTCTTCTAACCGCCATACAACTCTATCACTACTACAGTAAACCCATGGGCAGAGCCAGAGTCGAGACCACTACTTTATATGCGGCCACAGTGATGCTGATGATGATCATGACATTTTATTTCAATATCAAAACGCAAGAAAAAAATAATCCAGAAAAAGACTCCGGCACACAGAATCGAACGTCGGACCTCTGAATTGTGAGTTCGCGGCGTTAGCCACTGAGCCACAAATGAGCACCTCCTCCAACATTCAAAAGACAAGCTACTTATATCTACCACATACCGCTGGTGGGCATTTCAAGGGAAACTATCGTGTTTTCAGCATTACCAGCGAGATGGTGCACTGAGCGCACGTCGCTACATCATCACGACGCGGCGGCACGCACTCTCATCTCCCATGCGTACTTTGTCCGCAGAGGAGGCAGGGTGCTCCACCATACATCTTCAATTTTTTCCGAGGAATGGACTTGGTTGTTTTGAAAACTTTGAAGCAAAAAACTAATTTTTTGGTTGTAGCCATTTGAAAGTCTTAGTAATGAGCCCAGCCAGACAGTCTTTTCAGTGAAATGTGTAGCATACAGTTCTTTATCACGTTCTGCCGCAGTAGCACACAGTAGGCATATGCTTTATTCAATGTTTGATAAAAGCCCCGCCGTGGTGGTCTAGTGGCTAAGGTACTCGGCTGCTGACCCGCAGGTCGCGGGTTCGTATCCCGGCTGCGGCGGCTGCATTTCCGATGGAGGCGGAAATGTTGTAGGGCCGTGTGCTCAGATTTGGGGGCACGTTAAAGAACCCCAGGTGGTCGAAATTTCCGGAGCCCTCCACTACGGCGTCTCTCATAATCAAATCGTGGTTTTGGGACGTTAAACCCCACATATCAATCAATGTTTGATAAAAGATAATGATACTGTTAAAGCAAATGATTTAGTGAGTAGTTTATGACCTTTCTTTTTCTTTCCCTAATTAGATTCAATTTCTCCCTACATGGTACATATGACCATTTGTTTTTTGTTTTCAACCAATCGTTGTGCAGCATGTCATCAGCGGCAGCAACCGTGGTTGTTGCCCCTACGACAAGCACTGTGGTGTCTGTGTCTGCGCCGCCCAATGCAGTGGTGCGCCGCACCACGGTTACCTTAGGGGAACTTGGCGCCCTCAACAGTGCCACCACCACCACGGCAGTGCAGCACATTGCGGTGCAGAAAGTGCAGCCCGTGGTATCGCAGCAGACGGCGGTCGTGGTGACCACCCAGCCACAGCAGCGCGTTGGACTCTCCCTCTCGGTGAGTAGTGGCACGTGCCCCTCTCGTCATATTGCAAATGTTGTACACCTTTTCTATGTTTATTCTTTGGCAGGATGTTCAGTGACCACACTAAATTAGCTGATGGCTTGAAAACGTCTTTAGTGGCCAAAATTTTAAGCGAAGAGGTGCATCCATTACTTATGCACAAAGTGTCTTACACTATGTGCGCAACTAGTGTAACCAACAGACACAGGCTAACACACTTGGGTATTAAGCACACATAAATATCCTACGAAAAAAGTTGACAACAGAGCACCCTTCATTGTAGCTCGAATGGTGGAGCGTCGGCACATAGTTCAAAAGTGGTGGGTTCGTATGCCAGTGACGGAAAGGGTGATTTTTCGTTCTCGTTAGTACTGGCATGAGTGGTTTTCCTTAGCTGCACTATGGGGCAAGTTGAGTGCTCTAAGCTCTTTCACTCCCTTTTTTATGGCACTGTATGAATGCATCAATAGCTTGTAAATAAGAAAATGCATCATACCTTAACTAGTAATGTGTGAAGGAAGGAAGTCTGTTTGTGTGCCATACGACAAAGTTTTTTTTATACATTATTCATTTCTCTAAGCAAAGAAGGCTAATGAAGATGTCTTATAAGCGCAAAAAAAAAAAGGCGATGCTTATTTGTAATTACAATCTAGTGTTGTACTATCCGAATTTTTGTAAATATTGAAAGTGTGTTAACTGCACAAATTTTGAAAAAAAATATATTAAGAAAGGTATGACAGTGCACTAGATTTCATAGGTATAGGCTAGCCTAGCTTTTTTCAAATCTCTAATGCTAGCTTGCCTCGGTGTTACAGTGCTCGGCTGCTGACCCAAAAGTTCTGGGTTCCATCCTGGCTGCAGTGGTAGCACTTAAGTGGAGGACTCTTGTACTGTGCAATTCCAGTGCACGTCAAAGCACAGCAGATGGTGTAAATTTTGCGGAGCCCCCACTCGTAATCATAATCGCCCTTCATAACCATACAGTGCTTTTGGGACATAAAACCCGACATTATTATTATTAGTCCTGAATGATAGCATTGCAAGCTTCTAAACGTGTCAAGCTTGTGACTACGGTAGTACTCTGCACTACAAGATAAATCTTGTGCCCTATGTGTTGACAGCTCTGCTATTATTTTTCTTTTCCTTTCATAAACTAGTTGGACCAAGTTTCTGAGGCACAAGAGATGTTCAAGAACTCCAACAAGGTGTCACGTTCCGAGAAGGCACTCATTCTGGGTTTCATGGCTGGTTCCAGAGGTGGGTGGGACTTCATTATCATGCAGAGAGGTTTTTCTATTTTATTCAAAGGCTGGTTTTTATCATATGGCTTCTCCACCCCTTGTTTAATGTTATAAGCAAGCTTTAGCTTTGTGGATACTCTGATTTCACTATCAAAGCACAGGAAATTTAACAAATGCTGAGGGGATTTCATGAGTTAGCTGTTGGAATGGGCCAGACATTATGGCCGCGTGAAGTGAAATCCTGCTACGATTCAAAATTGTTTCCCCTTCCTTTGAACCAAAAAAAGGGCATTTGTGCAGGTCTTGTTTTAAATTTTAGAGAAGTATTGTGCAGAAGCACTTTGACTTTGGCGAGTTGGTGCATAATTGGATAGGCTTCAGCGCGATTCAAACGAAGACAAATAGAGACAGTCCTCTGTGTTCTGTGTGTGTCCATTTGTTTTCGCCTAAATTGCGCTGAAGCCTATCCTAGTAGTGTGCAGGTTAGTTAAGTCATGACAATTGTGCCCATTTTTTTTTTTTCATAATATGATATACACTATTCGAATTTGATTCGAAATTATTCTACCAATATCACTATTCACTTTGAATTCGCCTCGAAACTAAAGTTCACTATTTGCACAATCCTATAAAGAAAGGCTTTTAAGTCACTGAGCAGCTATGGATGATAAATTAACTAGTAAATTTTTATGTGTTACACGTGAACTTCGAAGGAGCGAGTAGGTAAATTTCTGATGACCGTGCTGTGGCACATTCATCAGACGCAGTCATGTGACGTTGGTCTTGTCGTCTGGGATCTGGTGTAACATGCTAGTTTACTGGAGGGCAAGCCTCATTTCTGCGACAAACATTTTTTATTGCAGCCAATCCTTGCCCAGAACTCGGAAACCTTATCACTATCCGGCTGAGTGAAAACAAGGAAGAAATTGTCCAGCCCAACGGCACTGTCAAGCAGGCCATCGTGGAAACGCACTTCCAGATGAACTACTCCACGGGGGAGTGGAAGCGGGTACGAAAGATTCGGGAAGTCGAAGACTGAAAGGAAGAAAGGAAAAATTTGCGTTGGCCAGGTGGACTTCGTCCTTTGTTTGATTGTGGTGAAGTGAGAAAGGCCCGAGGCTCTATAGAGGTGGCATGGATGTGACATCACATTACTGACGAGGCTCATATCAGTGTGTTTGATGTGTCACATCAAAAAGAAGGAGGAGGACTCCACAACTGCAAGTTTGAGGGTGTAACGCTACTGATTTCCTCTTTGTCATCTTTTTTTGTTTCTTTGCTTGGTTGTTTGTGCATGTGTCCTGTGCAGGCAGCAAAATTCAGTGCAGCTTCTTGTATTGTTGTATAAAATGAAGTAAGGAAAAAATGTCTGTACTTTATTTCTGCCATGCATGTTAGTGAACGTTGTTAATGGTGCATTCAGACGACTGATCGAATCCGGGTGTGGCGGGACGAACGGCGCGTCACGTGACCTTGCAGCAGCGATTCCCCTCGTCTGCGCGGCTCGCGGACGGATGACCTCAACCTATTTCTCACATCGGGATTCTGGCGGGAGAGAGCCGGTATTTCAGCGGAATAGCTCAGGCTTGGTGGCAACTTTTCGCCTGCTCGCGGCATGTCCTCCATGGCTCCCGGACAGCTAGCTGCATGACTGGTCGGCACCATCTACGCTTGAGCATGATTTACTTAGTTTCGGGGGGCCTTGTTCTCAAGTGATTAAATACGCAGATATCACTTTTGGTGGTTCGGGAAATGTCGCCACCGTTGTTTTGACACGCGAGATTCTTAGCCGTCATGGTGGGGAAATATTCTAACTTCTGCGACCGGCGACGTGCCGCTTCTAAGAACGAATGGGAGACGCGTTTAGAAGTTCTACAAGTGGGGAACAGTGGTGTTGAAAGAACATTCTGCCAGCAACTACCTTTTCTCCTGAAAGAATAACACTCCTCGTTCATTTGTCACAACGCGACAGACATCGCAGCCAAGCATCGCTTCTTGGGGGCACCATGTTGAATACTCTCAAACCGGTCTGCTGCCAGCAGGCGCAAGTGAGCGCCGAATCTGCTGTCCAGGGTGATCCGGCTGTTTTCTCCTAGGACACCGTCCGTCGTGTGGATGCGCCTGCAGACGGATCATCCGCCGATTAGCCGTCCGCGTCCATGACAAATCCGGATTCAGTCCGTCGTCTGAATGCACCATAAGAAGCTAAAGGTGGCCATGAAGGTGACGAATTGGGGCTGTGTTTATACGGAAAAAAAATAGCCTTGCACTGTGTCTTTACTGCAACTTCGATCTACAGGTGCTTTTTTTCTCGCACTCTCTCTGTCAACAGTGAAAGCATACTCTCAGTCCTTGCAATATAGGCAAAGTATAGAGAAAAGGCACATTAAGGGTATGAACGAAATCACTGAGTCTGTGCCGACTCTCGTAGACCATGTTTTATCAAACGCACCGTGTCGACTATGCCAGGCTGCTTCTCAACAGCAACCTTTCTCCTTACTACTGTTTATAGCACAGCTGTGGCCATGATACATTTGTTTTTCTTTTTGACAAGGAATGCGGTTACCTGCCTTTGATCTCAGGAGTGCCTTCCATTGGCATCGTATTTTGGGGTTTCTGACAGGCTGCTTGGCAAAAGTTTTCGGGATTGCAGGCTTTGTATTCGAGAGTTGACTGGTAGTTAAAAACCAAATGCGCTTTTTAACCACACATAACATATATCACTGGCTACTCCGAACACCTAATTCTTGTATGTGTATGGCACTTGCTCGTTCCAATTGCCCATCTTACGCTTCCCCCTCCTCGCTTCCCACCCTTTTGTTTTTCATTTGTCATTTTTGCAGAGGCGTCACTGACAACTTTGTAGGTAGTTGCCACATGTCAGAAGTTCGTTCCGAGAGTCTTTTAAACCTTGTACAGTGTACATCCTGGCATCATTACGACGAAGTCTTTTCACACTACTGCTGTTTAGTCACTGAGAGAAGACGTTTGGATTTGAAGGCAGCAGGTCATTCGTGTTTGAGCTTGTGTATGATAGTCACTTTCCAAACAACCTTCAATGTACATATATACTATACACTTGACCCATGCATCATTTTTCATCGCTGCTATTTTTGTTTTACGTGTTTGCTTTTCCAAGCGAGACACCACTTGTATTACGCGAGGCCTGTTAGGCTAACTTTTAAATTAGAAAAAAGAAAAGCATTTCTATATTCTGTATTGACATTTCAGATGCCCTATTTATTCCTTTGTTCATTTATGCATCATCAAAACTCCAGAAATGCTTTCCTTCTGTGGCACTGAAAAGAAAAAGAAATTATATGTGTTATTGACGTTTCATTTGCCGTAAAAAGTGAGAAAGGCATCGTGAGGGGATAAATTCTCACGACTGCTAAGGCTGTGCAATTCTGGCGAGATGTGTCAGTCTGTGCTTTCCTTTCAGTTTGTTGTTTGTTTTCCAATGTACTTGGAGGACTGCCTGTGTAAGTGTGAACTTTATCGCCGCGTAATGTATAATGTGTAATATCCTCTTCTCTCAGGCCGAAGGTGCCATGTTTGGAAGAGGAAAAATGATACAAATAAATATTTTCACAATGTTAAAAGCTTCCCGAGTTGTACATACTGCGCACTGCTGCTCGTTCGTAAAGTCTTGGGGTTTTGCGGTGGGCCGCTGCATGGAAATTCTCGATTAAGAAGTTTTTCTATATCGCACTGCCCTTCATATTGATTCAAATATCGTAATTAACACGTTGAGCTACTTCTGCGATGAGTGCACTTTTGTTAATGTTAAAAGTAAACAGGAACTGTAGCAGCAACAGCAGCCGTATACTCTCATACTTGTACTTAAATGTACCTTGTGAATTACTTTGTTGACATTACTTAAAGCAGTGCTTATTCAGATTGGAGTCGCACAATCTTTTAACAGAATTAATGTTGTTATCCTTGTTATGTGGAGAATTTGTACATTTAAAATCTGTGTATTTTAAACATTTAAAAAAATTTTGATTATTTGAATAGAAAAAATACTGGTGAAGGTAAAAATAAGCAAACCCTGGCAAGGAAGACACGTCCAAAGAATAAAAAAATCTGTATGACTGGACTATGTGCTGTATCTGTAATGAACGTAAAAAAAAAGAACATCAGTTCGTTTGGGCCGGTGACTTTAAATGACTTTTTCAAGTGATCGCACAACGCCGGCCCCGCTGCGGTGGTCCAGTGGACGAGGTACTCGGCTGCTGACCAGCAGGGCGCGGGTTCGAATCCCGGCTGCGGCGGCTGCATTTCCGATGGAGGCGGAAATGTAGGCCCGTCTACTCAGATTTGGGTGCACGTTAAAGAACCCCAGGTGGTCTAAATTTCCGGAGCCCTTCACTACGACGTCTCTCATAATCATATAGTGGTTTTGGGACGTTAAACCCCACATATCAATCAATCGATCCCACAACGCCCCGCGGGCGCGCGAAGCATTATGAAAAAAGGTGGTACACTGAGCAGACCGGCTCTTCCTCTGCCTACTGCTTGTTGGCACCATGCGAGCACAGAACGAAAAGAACATGCCGCCACTTGTTGAATAGGGTCCGAATGCACCTGCACGTATATCTACGCATAAAACGTAAAATGAATAACGCATTCAGAGGTAGATATCGCTTGGCGGGTGTACATCGAATGTATAGAAGATGAGCGGCATGCGAGTTGTTGCGTACCGATACATGTGTTGAAAACGAGCTATCGTGAAGATTGTGAGCTAGAACACGGAATTCATAGTTATTGAACCTTGAACTGCTTATAAAGAGCTATGACATTTAATACCATGGCGGTTTCATTGGGCTTATGTTAACACTCGAGACTGCAGCGGTGTTACAGCTATAAAATTTTCTAAAATTTTTGGAGGCAATTCATGTACGGGCTGAAAATAGGAAAAGTATACACATTCTAAACGTATTTAAGGACGAAGGGGTGGAACTAGAATTCACGTGTGAAATACCTTGTCCCAATAATTTGCGCTTTCTCATGAGATGCTTAAGTGTCTCTGCGGAGATTGTTTGCTGGCAGTGTATTCCGCATTGAGTGAGACCGCTGTTGAATTTCGCGTCGGCGCATTCAAATATTGTTCAGTAAAAAATAATGATGTACTTATGTATGGCAAAAGAAAACTCTGGCTCATTATCTGAGCAATATTTTCCAGCTGCAAGAAGGCACGGTGTCCTGCCTATATTATGTTGCATCAGTTTGTGACCAACTCATTCGCACTGCAAACAAAAATTATTTCGTACAACCTTCGCACGCTAAGAAACGAGAAATATTGCAGTTATTCGATGCATACATTCTGCACAGTATGCAAGTAAATTGGGAAGCGATACGAGGTGTGGAATGTGTTTCAAGTGCTTAGTAATATTTTTTCCGCAGACCATAAGAGGTCGCAGTGGTCTTCAGTGGGCAGAGAAAATTACTATAGGAGGCGTGCCAATTGTTCCTTCAATTTTCGTGGAAGACTAGGTAACCGAATTCCCCTTGTGTTCACATATATGCATAGGTCAGTGTGGTTTATGTATGGACACGTGCCTCAAAGAGCATCGAAATTCATTGAATGAAGTCATCACATCGCACCTCGCATTTTCAATCGGGCAATTTCTTCATCGAAGGCCTAGTAATCCTGCACAGTCACCCTAGTCAGACCACGTGAGCCATCTCGGAGACATATCATAAAGAACACTGCACCTTGTTTAAGTCAATTAATCTTTGCTATCGCTACAATGCAAGAAATGTAACTTTATTGATCAACTGTAAACAGGTGTCTTGGTTCTTTGCTTTTTAGTGCCTGTTAGTGACATGCGCAATGCGCCCCCTTTTTCCTACATATGTTTTTCAACATGTGCGATAACCTTTCACTCGCGAGTGAGCATTTCTGCTGTGCATATTGATTCCTGATCTTAATTATTTATGTTTACCCTTTAAGTTTTATGCCAACCTGTAATTAGGGTCAAGGAAATGTTGGTACGTGCATATTGTGAAAGCGACATGCACATGGTCTAGTGAATGTATTTTATTTTACACAATACCAATTATTTCTAAAGCACTTTTAAATATACCAGAATCGTACATTTTACTCGTAAACAACGTCAAAGAACATTGATTCCTAATGCATGCCTGAACTTATGTAACAGTGCTTGCAAATTTTCAGCTACCAGGTTGTACTGCTTTTTACTTATGCGGAAGACAGACTGACGCTAAAGAATAATAATAATAGCTCTGAGCCACTCAGCTGGTTGAACAGGGGGACAAATGCAAATTGTAGACAGGCCATGGCGCCTAAAAACAAGTTTGTGAGTAAATCACGCGGTAATATATCGCACCTTGGCGAGTTCATTTGATCTGAGAGTGAAACAACTTTATTGTTGATCCGGCATAAAGGGCAAGAGGTAGGGTAATTAAATGAAGACTCTGGCGTTCTCGGACGTCCCGGAGCAGCAATCTGAGAAGCGCCGGCACGGTGCAAAGGGAATGTTGAAGCGATAGGCCCGCGCGCTCGCCGTGGCGGCTGCTGTGGCGTACCAACTTTTCCCATAAGCGCTTGCGCGCCCGTTGGCGGCGCTAGTGTGC